TCTAGGGAAAAATTTGTCAAAGGAAAGCATTAGGGATGTTTTAATAGCTTTTTTATCCTATAATTGGTTCATTTTGTAGCTCTATATCTTATTAGGGATAAAATATGCCAAGCCTTGTGCTGTTATTGAGGACAACATATCTGCAGACTGTTGTGTAATCAGGAGGAAGACTAAAGGAAAAAAATAAGGAGAGGATCTCAAACAAGGATCAGATTCAAGAATAATTCTCCAGTGACCATGGAAATCTAATATTAGTATCTGGACAGCATCACATGTAAACTTCTTTTGATGTCCATAAGTGAGGACTCCATGGTGGGTGAGGAGAAATCAAAGACATGATCACACCTGATCATCTAACTTGTTATGTGATGAAGCATGATCACATAAACATGATTTTACCTTATCTGGATAGGATGCTAGTGAAACTCAGTCCTTTATTGAGATAAAGCACTAGTCCACATCTTTACCTTCAGTTTAATGTTCCCACTAAGAAACTGAAACCTAGAAAACTCATGGGTAGAGTCTGTTGAATTCCTGAAATTCCAGTTCATTTGTGAGTCACTAGTAGGTAACGATGGGTATATACGTATTCCTTTTATTGTAAAATGTATAGGGAGATACTTTAAGGAAATGCTTTTGCTATATTACAAAGTATTATTATCTACATCTATTTTTCATTTTGCTTGTTTGACATTATATTCTCCAAGATGGAAACTGCTGTCATCTGGTTGTGAGATACACACCAGTGGAACCTTAACTGGAGAACTGTCACAGGCTTTACACTGGTAGATTGTTCTCATTGTGCCCTTAAAAATACAGGCTCTGGTCTTTTTGAAGAAGCTTTATTTTGTCTTCCACTCTATGTGTTGTGTCTATAGGAGTAAAGAGTAAATCAACAATATGGAGCATTTGTCCATTTACACATTTCTACCCCCTCATTCTCACTATAAGGAGGCAGTCTTTAATTTTAATCTCCACCTTCTTAGGTAAATAACAGTGTAGTTGTGTTAGTAGCAATTAAAACCCCACAAAACCATAAACCATCCATGAAGCAAAATATCTAGCTAACAATATGGAATGACATGATAAATTGTGGTATATCACTAAAATAGCATATTACATGATTATTAAATAATAATTAGGAAAACTACATAGAAATCCCAAAACATACCTAGGATATAATGAAAAGGGAAAAGAAAAACACATAACTGTAATATGTAAGCTGCATATGCATATGGTTGAAGCCTGGAAGATAATTTGTTAAAATGGAGATATATCAGTTCTGTTAAACAGAGGCTGTGAATTTTCAAAAATGTTTTCTTGAATGTTATACATATAATAGTAATGACAGTGAATTCACCAAATAAATGGTGCCATAGGTATAGAGGAAAGAAATTAATAAGTAAGTAGAAGTTAGATGTTATAAAAGGGAAAAATACTTAAAAGAATGAATTTTTTCTCATCAAAATCATTAGGTTCAGAGACATTCTGTAGGGGAAGAAGAGGGAAAAGGACCAGGATGGGGTGGGAAGAGCACACGGGACTCTGGTGATTGTGCACGGGGAATTGGTAGTAGAGGTTTCATGGGGAAACCATACATTGTACAAAAATGAAGGATGGTGTAATGAATAGATTTTAAAAAGATTGAATTTTTCTTCCCTGCATTTGACAGTTCAGTAGATGTTAAGATCTACAGTATTGGAGACATATTCAAAATATGTAGTGAGATATGTTAGTAAAATTGTGATACAAAGAGCTGGATTTGGCTGAGAGTCTGAACTTAACTATCCTTAATTTTGTTTGCCATGATGATTGCAATAGAAACTAACACTTTTGAAACACTTTTCTAAATATGCTCCAAGTTGGGTATTTTGGTTGCGTTCACACTTTTAAGAACTTGTGCACAATAAACAGGCCTATAGAGATGGAGAACTTAAAAAGAAAATTAAAAAAAAATGAAGTGACTTTTATAATCAAATTGAAACAGCTCTTTGGATTAATAGCCAAGTAAAGGACACGTATTTAAAAATAAAGGAAACCTTTATTTTATTTTATATCAACCTAATACTTAAATTTACATTTCTCTGAACTCTTTCTTAAAGTATAGCAAGATCAGTCCTCTTGCCTATTATGTTAATATTAACGATTTGGTAAAACTGATCATTGGAATGACCTACTCTGCTTTCCTTTAAATGGCTCAGATACTTTTCTTTCCTGTTTCTCCTTTTCTTTGGTACCTAGTTAAGTGTGAATTTGTACCACTAGGTTTCCTTGTTTCCTATTATAAGGGGTCTTGCTTAATATAAAACATGAAAAATCCAAACACACAATCACACTTTTTATTTTTCTGGTCAAAGAAAGTTAAGCCTTCTAGCTCAACATTTAAAAACCATTACTTTAGAACTGGAGAAAGTTCCCTTAAATGCATTCTTAGATACCTTAAGCATCTTAAGTAGGTGGATGGAAGAAGAAACCTAAAATTTATTCTGAAATAAAACTTGAAACTGATAAAATACCTTATATCTCTAAACTAGTAGTTAACATTAGGTGTGGAAGTGTGTGTGTGTGTGTGTGTGAGAGAGAGAGAGAGAGATAGAGACAGAAAGAGAGAGAGAGAGAGAAAGTGAGAGAAAGAGTGTGTGTGTGTGTGTGTGTATTATAAAGGGGTCTAAGCTAGTTCCAAGAAATCAGAAATTAATTTTTCCTAACCCCCAAACCATACCTTATACTACAAGCATCTTTTCTCAGACCCTGTGTAAGTTTTGCTGCGTCTCTGTGAACATTACTTTTTGAGGTCTTACTTTCTCCTTGCCTCTTAAAGATGTCCATAGTGGCACCTAAATTTGAAGAAGTTTTTATTCCTTAGAATAAATAAATAATCCTCATAAAACTATGATTTCTCTCTTTAAAAATGCATGAGAATTAGTAAGAGGTATTATGATTTCAGGATACTATTCCTCCTTCTCATGTACCCCCCCACCTCACCTCAAATTCAAAGTAAATTATATGCAAATTGGTACAAGGACATGAATTAAAATATTTGGGCGTTATACCAGTATTTAAAATTTTCTTCTCAAGAATATTTTACTCTTCACATTTTCACTTTATTCCAAGAAGTGTATTTTATGGTATAAATAATAGTTGGTAATAAAACAAATCTGCTTTCATATATCTACAAAATTCTTTTGAGTAGTAGCAAGAATTCAATCCATGTCGTATAATTATTATCATGAATTGCATAACTTTGGCATGCATTTTGTTATAACTCATTTCCTGGCAATATGTAAAATGCCTTTGACATAATGCCATAGAACATTTAAAATGAAAATGAATGATAGAAATAATCTAGTATAAGTCAGTTCTGCTTCCCCACTTCAGGGAACTGAGGTACGAAACAATAAACTATGTTTAGGAGCATACATCTCGTTTTCCAACATTTAAGTCCTACTAAAAAAAAAATTACATACTCTTGATGTTGAACTTAATTCAAAAATTGTGACTTTTTTTGAAGAGCTAATTCTCAAGGCAGAATAATTACATATAAAGAATTGTTGAATTGGACTTAAAATATGCAAAAGGAGTATACCCCCCATTTTTGTCCTTAGTTCCCCTTTTGAGAAAAGTAGCTGAACCCCCCATTTTTGTCCTTAGTTCCCCTTTTGAGAAAAGTAGCTGAAACTATCTTATCATTAAAAAATAAATCATTACTCTTTTAAGGGTGCCAAGTTATCCTGATGTTCAAGATGAAGTATAACTTAATATTTCTTTTCAATAGAAATCAAATATTATTCTGATTGTCTTCTTCATCTATTACAGTTGGCCTAGTGAATAGGAAAGGCATCTCGGGACCCATTATGATGTTTTTCCTCAGCAGCAGAAAATTAAGTATGAACGAAACAGATCTTTGTCATGTAATGCTCGTGAGTCAGGTGAACTTAATAAAAACTGGGCTTTGGTTAAATTGGGCAGAATCACTCTTGTTTCACTGGCATTTACAGTTGAGGGGAGTACTGAATAGATGAACAAATAATGACATTTCCAGAAATTTAACTATTGCATTTCATGTAAATCCTGCACCAAGTTTAAGACTTCAGCTTTTAAAAGGCATGTAGAAATAATAATTACCCACACGTCTCCCCAAAATGTTTGACACTTGTAACATGTAAAACCCATTATGACTTGATGAATAACAAATTCTGAGCTATGAAAATATTATATCAAGTCATTTTGCACCTGATGAAGAAATTATGCATGAATGATAGTCAGTGTTAAAAAACACTCCAGATAAAGACCCATTAAGTCAAAATAAATGAGACTTTAAGAAGTATCATAGCCATCTAAACAATTTAAGTTTCCACAGTTTGTCATATTTATTTTACTTCATTTGAAACCCCTGGTCTTGTCTGAGGATAATGCCACATTATTCAACTGCCAATAACCCCCTTTTCTCCTGAAACCATCCCACTTAAGGAGAGATGTGGATAGTCTACCTTGATTTTATCTTTTCCTTTAGCAAAGACTAATTGCAAACAGCTTTTCACCAATCAAGGATCATTTCATATACTGAAGCAGTAAATTGTTTTTTCTTTCAATTTCTTCAGTCCTAAAGCAGCTCTGTTTCCCGAAGAAAAGCTCATGTATCATTTCTTGTCTGGTGTCTGCAGTTCACTTTAGATTAGTCTGCTTCCAGAGGGTGCTGGGTAGCACTTTTTGGGTTATTTTACAAAAGATCAAACATAATTTAAAAAGCAATTGGAACTGCTTCCTCTCTTACTCACTTGCTCTTCCAGTGTCCTTAGCCCTAGTCACCTTCCACCTTTCCCTAAAATAGGTCCCCATCATGCCTATTTACATGGCTCTCAGGCACTGAGGTTTGCATACCCGTCACATACCAGTCCATTTCTAACAGTGTGAAGGCTGTTGGAGCAGGGCAGTTTCCTTCCATTGGGAGCTGAGTGTAGTCATGTTTCTATCAATACCGAGACTCTTAGATACAAAGCCTAGACTATTGTCTCGTGGTCCCACCTGCCTTGGCTCTGATTGATGTAACAACAGTATCTGTCATAGGGGCTTTTCTGCTTGTAGGAGCAAACGATGATACTGTCCTGGGGCACAAAGAAGATGCTGTCCTCGGGCTCAGGGCACTCGGACCTGTCCCAGACCGAGCACTTGGCATCCAAGGCACTGTAGGCAAGGGAACTACCCGAGGGACAGTAGCCATCCAGGTATCTGGATGTCTCTTCCCGAGGCGCACTCTGGACTGGACTCTGGCATTCTCCTTCCTCTGTGGGTGTGGAGGTGGCGATGGAGCTGGCCATTGGCACCTCACTCTGCCCTTGGGGGAGAGGCTTTCCCCTGAGGCCCGCCTTCTTAGCCAGCTCATCGGAGCTCCCCTTGCCTGACTCCAGGTCCGATGGGGTCCTCAGCAGTTCTACCACCTCCTTGTCCTTGGGTTTCCGGAAGCAGGGCAGCTTGCGAACCCATAGCAGCTCATTCTCAGGCCACTTGGTGCATCCTTCGGTTTTCCTGGCCAGAGCAATGGCCGCGATGCCTGGTAGGCAGATGGCTGGCCCGATGGCTAGGAGTGGGATGTTACCCAGAGTCTCTCCTTTCATCCCAGAGACGGTGAACATGAAGCCAAAGACCAGGAAGACACTGACCAGAGCCACCACCAGTCCAGTCCTCGGGTTAATGTCATCAGGCCGCATCTTTTACTCCATCCAGGACTCGGGCCGCTTGTTGGTTAGGGAGCAGTGGTCCTCTCTTCTGTCAGAGGTGAAACCCCAGTGAATTAAAACAAAAAGCCAAGTCAATTTCCCACCTATCAACACTTTCTTACTCTTTGGCTCTACTCCCTCCTCCGATTCACTTCCTCTCTCTCTTTCTCTTGCAACCTCAGTCTCTCATATAAATATCTACAAACCGGGGTACCTGAGGTTTCCTGTCGTCTCCAGGGAGCAGAAAAAGAAGCCAATCTGAGTCTCCTTAGAAACCTCCACAGCAACTGTCCCCTCGGTTCTTCTGGAAGGAAAACCTGGCTTTCCTCGCTGAGTCCGCTTCCTGGAGGTGGGACATGGAAGCGTGTCTTTTCCAACTGTGCCCGTCAGTGCCAGAGGTCTGGATGCCGAGCCAAGGCGCAGCTCAGCGCTCTGTGCGCTGAGCGCAGGGTGCTGGAGGGAGGACTTAGGGAAAGACGGAACGCCGCGCGCGAGCCTGGCCTCGTTACATCACTTTCAGAGCAGGCTCAGAAACAAAGCAGGACGCGCGGGGGCGCGAGGGGGGTCAGACCCCGGGAGAGACCATCCCGGAGGAAGAAGCAGTCCAGGGTCCTGTTGGGGGGCGGGGCGTGGGGGGTGCTTAAAACAGTCAGGCTTCATTTGCCGTTGCAGCAAGAGCTGGGCTGCTGGGCTGCTGGACCCGCTTCGGTGCCGGGGAGGGTCTGGGGCTCAAGGCTGCCGCTCGCTGTAGACCGGACTCAGATCGGTTTGCCCGCGGGTTCCGAGGTCAGGCTCGGAGAACCAGAGGTACCAGCTGGATATGTACCTCGAGGACTTGGACCGTGGGTGACACGATTCAACTGATAGCAACTCCCAGAGGGTTACCAGGTTAGCCCTCCTCTCAACCCGAGGCCCTGGGGGCTCACAGGGCTGCATTTTTCAGGGTCCTTTTACCCGCGACTACTCTTCGGTGCTGGCGCTGGGTGAACTCGGTGCGCAAAAGCGCGCGGTAGCCAGGCTGTCAGAACTCAAAGGATCAGCGCCCGGGAAGAATTAGTGGTGAGGGATGGGTCGGGTGTTGCTCGGCTTTGGGAGAGTCACAGTGTTCTTCCCCACTGGTGCCCACCTGGAGGAGGTGGCCTTGGAGCCGGGATCCCACTGCGGCATGACCGTGGCGCCAGCCAGGACAGCTGTGTCAAGGGTTAAGGGTTTTCGCTTCATGAGTCCCTGATCCCCCATTCTGGCACTTCATACTCAACATCCAACCAGAGACCCCCCCCCCCCAAGGGTCGGGTGTCTGGATGTCACGGTGCAGGGTGGGGAAGGAGAGCAGTCAGACCTGCCGACCTGTCCACCTTGCAGCTCTAACTTTGGGAGAGGCTTTCCTCCTCTGTTGAAACTGGTGTGATGAACCGGTTTCTTTCCACAGCAGCCATGGTAAATTCGCCTGACCCGATGACCAAAACTGACTTTGGCGGTGGTTCTTTAATAAGGCTGCCAGTTTGGGGTATTTAGGTGGTAGGTAGGTGGGGAATAGTGAGGGACAAGTCTGAGCTGGCACCTGGCGCTACGTTCTTTCATGTCAAGGTCCTGCTTGGGTGGAAAGAACTTGAGTAACCAGGCTTACCTCAGTTAAACCAGCTGTGTTTTCCTTGGGCGAGTGACTTAACCTGTCTGAGCATCAGTTGGCCCATCTCTAAAAAGAGACTATGAACACCAAATATGTGAGGAATCATAGTAAGGACTGAATAAGTGTAATATGCCTGACACAACGTAAAATGTGTTAAAATGTTTATTTACATAGTATGTGATAATCAGTGTAAAACACAAGCCAAACCTGTGGGGACTAAGGACCTTTGACTTTATCCATTAGACAGTGACTAATCCATTTCAAGGAGGAACTAACAACAGGATTTTATCTTTGACAGATGGTAAAGCAGGTTAAAGGACAGGTTGGAGGAGTTGGTGTGGGGAGCCAGTTCAGTACACCAGACAAGACGGACGGGGGTTGGAAGATTCTGGCTATGATGTGGTGAAAAACTGATTTTGAAGGCTATTTAAGTGTAGAATCATGTGTTTTGGGTCAGAAGAAGTTGAGATGATAGCAAGAGTGAAGATAGGCCCCCTTTCTTCCCCCCAAACCCCCAACAAGCCTTACTTTTTGAACTACAGTGAAGCGAGTGGAACTCGAAATCCTAATTTTCATCCCATCACCTAATGTGCTTGTCTTATGGGGTTTTGATAGCAGCAGTGCCGCTGGGCTAGAAGCAAAGTTTCAGAAGGGAGGGTGGGGGGAAAGTCAAGGGCAAAAGTGAGATGCCAAATGTGTGACCCTTATATCACACCCCATCAAGTAAAGAAATACCTGCTTATATCTAACTGGCCAGAGGATGTCATATTTGCCACCTCTGTATGCAAGGAAAATTGGAAAATTAGGATTTCTTGTCTGTTTTTTGGGAGCTTTATTGCCTCTCTAAAAAAAGGCTAGGGTTTCAGTAGCTATGAAAAAGAGAAGAGTAGATATTAGGGAAGCAACTAGCAACCTGTGCCAGGACTAGGGAATGCTTTTATCTCATTGAAGCGCTCTTTCCTTGTCTTAACTAATACCATTCTATCCCAGTTTCCCTCCTAGCTCCCGGCCACTCATTTGAAGGCCACCTCGTAAACTTCTCTTTATTTTTATTTATTCTCTTTACCTTCATTATATTTATTTTAGCAAATCTCTTCAGTGTTGATATTCTGCTGGTTCTGTCTCTGTTTTCTCTTCTTTCCCTTATAAGTTTCAAGCATCAGCTGCATAGGTGGTGTTTATTTCTTTATTCTTCATCTTAACCCTCAGATTCAAAGTTATCATATCTGTCTGTTTGATATATCTGTCTGTATGGCATACACACCTCCAACTCCACATGACCTAACCTGAGCTCATTGTATTTCCTTCAAACTTGTTCTTTCTCACTTGTCCATCAATTTCCCTTTTGCCCACATGACTAACTTTGGGATTGTCCTCTACTCCTTCCTTTCTTTAACAACCCTCCAAGAAGTACCCCAAGTCCTCATAGTCTTACTTCCAGAGTCCCTTGATCTTGCCTGTTCTACCTGCAGCAGAGACATGTCACTTCCCCCACCCCCACCCCGGGGTTTCAGTGCAACCACTGACATTTGGCTCGATCTGGCAGATTTGAGTGCCAGAGGACCATGGTCTAGCAGTGTTGTGCAGATGTTCTGACAGTAGTGCTGGGAATCAAATTAGATCCTAACAAAGCAACATTGTTGAACAGAGACCACCTCTCACTTGTACAAGCATCTAATTCCATTCTGACATTTAAGTCATGCAGTTCATTCTACTTTGGCATTAGATAAAACCCATGCATAAAGCCACAGGAAACTTCAATTACTGTTTAATTATAAGCCTCATTATCAGAGCAGTTTCTTCTTCGAGGTGATTTCACAGGGTCTTTGAACAGCAGGCATACATACTTACCCAAGTCAGTAGCAAAGTGGGTGGGGTGGGGACCATCACTCAGGGTCACAGTATTTAGAGACAGAAAGGCTTTCTCACTATTTAATTTCTTTTCTGTGTAGGCAGATTGCACTAGGATTTTTGGAGCCCTCAACAGTTCTTGCAATGCTGTGAGCATATACAGCCATAAACACAAGCTTTTCATTAACAAAGAAAGGAAGTTTAGATTGTAGTGAGGCTTTGGAATATGGGTGTTTAAGAAGAAGAACAGAGCCTTTTATTTCTGAAATTATAGAAATCATGGAATGCTGGAATTTGAAGATACCCTCTAAAATATCTTCTCTAACTCCCTTTATCATGCAGATGATATATAGACAGATTGCAACCACTCAGTATTACCTGAGTATTTGTTCTATGCTTGGCACCATGCTAAGTGCTTGGTATATGTGTCAAATTTTAAGACGTGGTCTACTATTATAGAACTCACATTTACAGCACAAAATGTGTTAGGATAAAATAGTTTATGCTGTGGCAGCAGAGGCTTCCAGATACCAGAATCTGCACTCATACTACGTGGTCAGCCTCAGTGCTGCTCTGTGTTACCTTTGTTAGGGGTGCAGGCTGATAGGGCAGCCTCCATTGGACACATGTCCAGTCCATTTGATTATGGCAAACAGAGGCCTTGTGTTGAGTCTTCACTTTATCAGCTTCTCTCTGTCTCTTCCAGTTTTTCCCCTTTAGGACAAAGAATCTGTCAAAGTATGTGTCTTCCCTGGGGACCTTCCTCCCTTTCTAGACCATGTGATACCTGGGGCCCCAGAGTGCCCTTCCTTAACAGTCCTGTACTTGCTTCCAGGACTCATATACAGCTCTTCATTAGGTCCATCCTCTCAAGACAACCAAATTGCAGATTTTTGAGCATGTGTGACATTCAGGGGACCACTGTGCTTTGAGTATGGATAAAAGCCAGGCATGCAAGATGGGGTGTCATCTTGCATGTCATCTGTATGTCAGCCCCTCCTTGGACTGAACTAGGGGTGGGAAGAGAAAAGCAGCATTCATTTCACTCTTGCTTGGGATATTGTAAATGTTAGAAACAGGCTAGATGTGGTGATTTGCGGAAAGGACGGCCACGTCCCAATTCAAGTCTTAGTAGATTTAGGGTGGGCAGAGAAGAGAACCAGGGAAACTAGTTGGGTTACTTATTGTAACTACCCAGATGAGCAATGATCGTGGCTTGCGCTGGTGTGGTAGTTATGAGTGTGGCAAGAATTAGTTAGATTCTGGGTCTATATGTGTATAAATTCTAAATTGTTGTTAATTTTCTTTCTTCCCTCAGGTGTAGTCCCCATAATTCTCCCACCACCATATCACCTGTGACCCATCACCACAGTCCTTTGTGCTCTCCCCCCCTTTGACCCCCTCCTCCCCCAATGTGTGCCCTAGGTCTGTGGTGAACTTGCACATTTTGTCTTTTTCCTGAACCTTTGTTTGGTTTTTCTGTTTTCTGCATATAAGTGAAACTGCCCGA